GAATGGAAACCCAAAATACCTGTAAATGTTCATTTAAAAAAAACCACTAGGCCTTAAAAAAAACAAAAAAAAATATTTGTTTGCTTTTGTGGTAGTAGTTCTTACCTTGAAAGAATTGTACAATGATTTGAACCAGAAAGTTACCCCAGCAAATAACTTGGTGTCAATTCCTCATCAATCCACAGTCTACCACACTGAGGACAATCTGAACACATTCCAGGATGGATACGCATCACTAGCTTGGTGGCCAGGGTTCTTGAGCATGTGGTTGGGTGCATAAATTAAAGTTCCTTAAGATAAACAGCAAGTCTACACATTTTCTATGGAGCTTATTTTCCTGCCCATATTGTCTTTCAAGGAGGAAACTGACCAAAATCTGATTTCCATTATAATTATGTGTATTTGTGTATGTTGTTGTTATGTGTCATCGAGTCGCTTGTGACTCATAACGACCCTATGTACAACAACTCTAAACTCTGCTCTGTCCTGTGCCATTCTCATTGTCTCCGACACAGTCATCCCGATTGCCCCAGTCACCGAATCAATCCACCTCCCAGAGGGCCTTCCCCTCCTGCGCTGTCCCTCCACCCTCCCAAGCATGATGTCCCTCTCCAAGGACCAGTCCCTCCTTACAACACAACCAAATTATGTCAGACAGTGCCTCAGAATCCTTACCTCCAAGGAGCTGCCCAGTTTAACCCTCTCCGGGATGAATTTGTTTGTTTCCTTAGCAGTCCACGGTACCCTCAGCACTCTTCTCCAACATTCCAGCTCAAAAGCATCAATTTTCCTTCTATCCTCCCTGGTCATTGTCCAACTCTCTGATGCATAACAAGTGGCTGATTGCAAAGACCATGGTCTGTATCAGATGCACCTTAGTCTCCAGAGACACACCGTTGCTCTTCAGTACTTTAGAGAGGTCCCTAATAGCAGAGTTTCCCATTGCAATACGTCTTTTAATTTCCTGGCTGCTGGTGCCAAGAGTGTTACATATAACACTACATAATCTACATAAAACAGAAATATACCAGAAAAGGTAAGTGGACATGTTTTCCACTAAAGGAATAATAGAAAAGTGGTAAGACTGCTTCCTATCAAAAGCAGAAAATCTGCAAGACCCAGAAAAACAAGGCAGCTCGAGCAGGCTCTGATGCCCCCGACTCCACTGTTCTGCAACCATTGTCAGCACCATCAGGAAGATCCACAAACTGACCTCCTTCCTGTGCTTCAACTATTATGAACCACTACTGGGATCATGAAGAAGATCTGGTGGCCTAGCGGTAAGGAGTTGTGGGTCCACCAGCTGCTCTGTAGGAGAAAAATGGGCACTCTCCTCCCCAGTGATTTACAGGCTCTGAAAACCCTGGAGATCACTTATGAGTGGGTTTTGACTTGACAGCACATAACAACAAAATTAGGATTATTACGAGCCCCAGTGACATAGTAATAGTGTAATGTGTCAGGTTGCTAATCACAGGATCAGCAGTTCAAATCCACTAGGGGCTCCACAGGAGAAAGATAGGTAGACTCTTTCTGATAAGATTTACAGCCAATCTAGCTATGAAGGTAACGAAGAGATAAAGTTTCTTAGTTTGCTTTAGGAAGCTAAAGAGAATAAATAGCACTGAGGGGGAAAATTAGTTCATTCTCTCTGGGTCCTAACAAGAAGAGAGAGATGCACCCGAACAATTTCAACAAGTCTCCCTGTCAGGGTGAGTATCCATCCATTCTCAGGGTTCTCACTATCATTTTTATAATATATACATTTTTATTGTGATTTTAATGAATGTTTATAGAAAACTTGGACTACTATTCATTCATTGTTGTACATTTTCCTCCTTACCCCTCCTTGTTTGCTTTTTTAAAAAAATAAAATATTCATTGTTGCATAATTTTCTCCCCCCACCCCCCTCAGTCCACTTTGCTATGGACCTCTTATTCTGGACTGTTGTCATGCAAATAATGCCTAATCGTATATTAGTTTTTGCCATATATATTTATAAAATATATATATTATAAATTTTTTTTAATTATAAAATTTATAAACAGTTATAAAATATGTCTTTTTTCCACAAGTTTGAGGCTGTTTTCCAGTTTGGAAGATATTTGGGGCAGCTGGATTCTACAAAGGTGTGTTTTCCTGTTTTGGTTGAGGCTTGGGTGTGGACTGCTTGCTGAGTGGATTTAGCCTCATATTTAAAAAGGTATCTTGTTTTAATTGTTTTCAGTCAAACATTCTTCTAAGTAGGACAGCACTGGTCTGTCAATTTGCTGTACAGAGGTAACTCATGGTTGCTGTGATGCTGAACACTGTGCCACTAATATGTCAAATGCAATACTGGTTACCCATGGTGGGCAATATTTGGTGGAGCTCCCAAATTAAAACCGGCTGGAAGCAGGAGTGACATCCACTTCCAAAATAGCTTGCCTCCAGAAACTCTACGAACTTAGAGAAATAATGAAAGTAATACATGTCCAGGTCTTTCGTTCATAGGGTCACTATGAGTCGTCTATGACTCGATGACACTTAACCACAAAAACAACAACATGTTCTTTTTAAACAGTTCTTTCCTTCATCTGTTCCAATGCAGTGATCATTATTCATCTCCTCTTTTCTTAGTTTCCCTCCAACCCCCATATCCAGAGCTGCCACCCAAACAGGTATATACACACCTATATTTATTGCTGTGTTGTTCACCATAGCAAAGAGATAGAAGCAACCCAAGTGCCTATCAACAAGTGAATGGATAGAGAAGCTGTGGTATATTCACATAATAGAATATTACACAGCATTAAAAAATAAGGCACTCATAAAATATTATACAACATGGGTGATCCTGAAGGACATTATGCTGAGTAGACTGTCACAAAAGGAAAAATACTGCATAATGTCACTGTTATAAAACAGAACTCACTATCATTTACACAATAACTTCTCCATCTATCACAAGTACTAGTATCCAAAGCTCAAGCGTTAGAACTTTTACTTTTCTCCCCTTACTTTGTCTTCCTTAGAAAGGAAGCTAGTATAGTTGAGAAAGCAGTTAAATAAGAGTCAGAACCCTAGGCCCGAGTTTCAGTCTGAACTCTGAAGTGATATAACGTTGGACAAGTTCCTCAGCATCACTAAGCTTTGTGTCTAACATATGGCTGGACAGTCTAAGTAAAAGAACCTACAAGACAGTACTCCCTACCATAGTAGAAACTTTGAATAAAGGCAGCTTTCCTAAAACAACTTTCTTAGAATTTCAGAACTCACTTCCAGGTGAAAGCTCCTCACATGTACCTTTTCTGGCCTGATCTCTCTGCACACTCTGGTACTACCTCCAGCTGCCTATTTGGTAGGTCCTCCTGGCTCTCTTGCTGACATCTCTAATGAAACCTTCCTCAAACTGAACTTGTATGCCTACTCAAAAGCCAGTGAGCCCTCTCAATTTCTTTGACTTCATAACAGTAAACATGCTGCCAGTTCCTCATGATCATCCCTTCCTTCCCATTCCTGCTACTACAACTCTCACCTGGTCCTCATCGCCATACCTAATGCACACCTCAGGCACAAGGGCCTCTCAGGGCTGCCACTTGTCTCAGAGCTGTCTCTCCATCCATCCTGCTATCTCCAGCCAGATTTGTCACATCTAGCCCTGAACAAAATCTTCAAGCACTTTTCTCCCTGCAGCCTTCTATTTGAGACAAAAGTGCTAAGGCCACTGCATGTGCTAATATGACAGCTTCTGTGTCCTGTCCTCAGTGTGCACACAGCAATGAGCAGTGACCTATGACCCCTGGGTAAAAGGAAAGCTCCTGGGGTAAAGGCACCATAAAGCGAAGTCTTTTTAAAAGCAGTTATTGAAAAGTAGAAATTTTTAATCACACTTTCTTTATGTAGTATTTAATTGAAGAAAACAAAGATTCTCAGCCCTGGGCCAACTGGAGAAGAGATTGAGACTGTTAACAATTTCAGCTTGACTGGTTATGTAATCTTGGTACCAGCAGTCAGGAAATCAAAAGAATAATTGCATTAAGAAAATCTGCTGTCAGGAACCTGTCCAGAGTACTGAAGAGTAATGATGTCAGTCTAAAGACTAAGGTGTGCATGATCCAGGTCACAGTCTTTGCAATTACTTGCTAAGCATTAGAGAGCTGGACAATGACCATAGAGGACAAAAGAAGAACTGATGCCTTTGAGTTGTGGTGGAGAAGAGTACTGAACATACCATGGACTGGCAAGAGAACTAACGTGTCTGTCCTGAAGAGAGTGAAGCCAAGCTGTTCCTTGGAGGCAAGGATTTTGAGGCTCCATCTCATATACTTTGAGCATGTGGTCAGGGGGGACCAGTCCTTGGAGAAAGATATCATGCTTGGAAGGGTGGAAGGTCAGTGCAGGAGAGGAAAACTCTGAATGAGATGGATTGACATGGTAACTGGAGTAATGAGGGTAGGTGTGTCAGGGACAGTGAGATGGGCCCATGATAAAGCAGGACTCAGAGCCATTGTTAGAGGGTTGCTATGAGTTATGGTCAGTTCGTCACCACATAACAATAATCAAAGTCTGTCACAAACCAGCCTGTAATCATTACATTAAATTATAATAACCCACAAGTACTAAACCACTTTCCATGTTTCATAACATAAAAATGACTCAGCAAATATTTGAGCCTTTAATATATATATATGTATGCATGTATGTAAGTATATGTATGTGTATATGTATATGTATATGCTGTTGTTTACTATAGAGTTAGAACCAACCCTCTGGTGGGTTTTCAGAGGCAACTAATTGATGCATAGAAGGAGACTGCCCATCTTATTTGCGCTGGAGCAGCTGGTGGCCTTGAACTTTGTGCCTTCAAGATTGCAGCGCAGCTTATTGCCTCCAGGCCACCAGAACTCCCTATATAAATATATATATTAGATATATATATATTTATCTATATAGATATAAATATCTATAGATATAGATATAAAATGGCAAATGTTATCAATTTCAGACTTGTTCTTACCATTTTGTTCATCTAATTCATTCCCAATTTCCTGTCCCATTTGTTTCTGGCGACTTATGATGGAGGAAAGGGCTTCAAGACCGGCATCCTGCTCTGAAAGGAGAAAGAAAAACAATAAATTAACTGGAAAATCAAGGAAGGACAATTAAAAATTCAGAAATACATGCATCTAAAAACATACACAAAAAGTGACATTTTAAGACATTCAGGAAAAGACAGATAAAATAGTTAATAGTCCACAATAAAGCTAAAAGATAATCCCATATCTTACATAAAACTATTTCCAGATAATTTCATGTTAAAAGTGAAATAAGATTTAACTACATAAACATTTAATCTTTCTGGCATATAATATGCAAAGCATGTGTACAAATCAATCTGAAAAATCTTAGTATCCAAAGTTTGAAAGTGGGCAAAAGGTAGGTAATTTCCAAAATAATGTTGTTGTTGTTGTTGTTATGTGCCGTCGAGTCGCCTGCGACTCATAGTGACCCTATGTACAACAGCCCTAAACTCCGCTCT